GGTTAAATATTCAAATATTTTTTAAATTGATTTAATATTTCATTTTAATATTTAATATTTTTTACTTTTACATGCTCACGCCCTTAGCGCATCTTTTTGTGTTTGTCCAGTTTGATTATCACAATATATTAGATAAGTTTTCTCTAGCTACTGAACCATTTCTGTTCACCTGTTACTTATGAAATATTGGGAGAGATATTTGTAATTTTCAAATTGCTATACATTTGCTGGCGATGAAATACAGGTGGTTTAATGGATTAGATTGAAGTCTGTTAGTCGGTTCCTATTTAACCATCGAATGGGGTGGTATTCACCATGATTGGACTCCTTTTATGCTGCTGTCCATTGTAACTGATTCATGAATATAAGAGTACAGGTAATCTGCATTGGATTCACCTGTCCTTCCTGGACATCTACAATGCACCATTACAATTAAACTTTTCTGTTGCAAATTAATCTCAGAATGTTTTATAAAGGCGATCATTCATTGATAGATTCTTTCTGTATGATGCTAATGATTTAAATATTGTTGTATAATTCTAACACTCACTTCTGTGCCTAGCATGAACATGGAAGATTTCTCCGGTTTCATTCCATAACATTGTGGGTGAGCAATGCCAAACAGGTAAGCGAGTTCTGTGTATAAGGTGAAGATAAAAGAAGTCTTCGGTATGCATGCAGGCAGCGTACCGTAGTTCTATTGGCAGCATGTGATTGGTTAGTGGAGGGGTGGGTCTGATGTCCCTCAGAATCTGTTTCAAATTATGGCATGTGCCACATCTGGTGCTCCAGCGGGAACACATTTTGATCACACTCTGGAAGATATTGGGATGTGTCACATAGGTTTCCTAAGGACACAATGTGAAAATAGTGACTATTGTGTCATGCGTTTATAGACAATAAATTATATTCTGATAGAGTCAGGGCATCTCCACTCTGTGATCTTTGTTTTCATTTATACTGTTGCAAGTCTCAGCTGCGAGTCTATAACTTGCTAAGTACATGCTTAGTAGATATAGCCAACATTCTACCCTTCTGCGGGATCAACCTCTGAATCACTGAGTTCAAGTTCTATCCTTCAGGGAGAGAACATAGAGTTTACAGAACACAGAGTTGAAACCTTTATTACTCGACATACTTATGATAGCCTCTACATGTTGGTCAATTAAGACATTCCTATGTCTGCTAGGGAGAGTGAGAGGGAAAGGTGTGCCCCCTCTGAATCACTACGACAGCCTCTACACATTGGCCAAATAAGCCCTCAGAGAGCGAACATAATGTTTGCAACAAAAAAAAAATTCACTTGATTAAAAAGAGTAGAGAGCTTAAATATATAAATATAGTATATATTACTAATACATACCTTATATATCACTTTACATATTATTGTCATTTGGTAATGCTGACAGGTGCCCCTTTGGACTCAAGTGATGTGGGGATTTTAATGACTTTTTTAGGACCTGTGTCGATTTGCTTTGGGCTTGTCCCTGTCAATGGCATCAGTTTGAAAGGCTTCTGCGATGATTTACAATTCACTGATGGTTGGATTTGTCCTGCTTCAAATGAGTTTTGCATGCCCATAGGCTGGTATTGAAATGCAAAACCCACTTAAAGCAAACAAAAGCCTATATACTCAGGGTCTCAGGTGGGCTGCGCAGAGTCTCAGGTGGGCTGCGCAGAGTCTCAGGTGGGCTGTTCAGGGTCTATGGTGGGATGTACAGGGTCTTTGGTGGGATGTACAGGGCCTATGGTGGGCTATGTGGGGTCTCACCAGGGGTTCCGGTCGGTCTTGCGTATGTGTGCGGGCGGCACGGTTCCACAGGAAGGAGGAGGAAGAGATTTGCAGTTGTTGCTGTAAATAGGTTCTGTGAATGGCGGCGCCTGTTTACAGCACCGGTTTCAGTTTAAAAATGTAAAGCGCTACCGGTGCTTAGTAAAGGGGCATTTTCATGTGTTCGAGTACTTGTGCAAATGCCCAGTATTGGCACCGATATTGAAACCGGTATCGGTATTGGTGCATCCCTACTTTCTGATAATATAACTTGCCATTGTAAAGAATATTGTCTTTGCTCCTCATATGTCTGGTTGGCTGTGAGCCATTTCTCATAAAAAGTATGTGTCACAGTTCCTTTACCTCATACATATATATTATTATTATTTCCACGGTATTTATTGTTGCTTGACAGGCTCTTGTTCAGTGTGCTAAATCACTTTACTTGTGTCTTTACCACAGGCTGCCTCGTTTTATTGCAATAAAATGGGGTTTGAGCCCCTGGCCTACAAGGGCCTAGAGACTGGGAATAGGGATCTGGTTTATCACGTTGCCAAACAAGACAAGGTACAAAGCTCCATCCATGCCAGCATTATTCATACTGTACTAATGATGTGGTTATTTAATCAATCTTTATGTTTCTCTGTAGATCATCTTTGTGTTTGTTTCTCCTCTCACTCCTGGAAATAAAGGTAAATTTGTTATTTTCTTTAATACACAGTTTTAAGCCTACATGACTAAGGTAGCTCAGAGGTCCCCTTTTACTGCCACCACCCCCTTTACCTTTGACTCCCCACCCACTTCCTTTCAATTACCACGCTACACCAGGGTTGGAGTATAAATGGCAGCAGCCTTTTATTACAAAACTTTTATAAATACTCTTTAAATAACAATCAAAAACAACAATAACCAAGTAACCATACAGTAGCTTGCTAGGTTTCAAGGTCCTTGAAGGCACTCACTATCCAAACTCGGACCAGTGTCTGCGGGTTTCTTAAAACGGAATGACCCCAGCCGCCTTACACCGCCTCGGGGACGTACTTCAATTGCCCGCAGACCCACTGTGGTCCCTCTTACCAGGTCATGACATAAAGCTCCTCCTGTAAAGCTCCCTCCACCAATCCTGTGAGTATCCCTCCTCTAATTCACTTTTCCCTTTAACACTTTTCTCTCCTGGTTCCCTTTCCCACCCTTGTCATGTAGGCCTTCCGCTTATTGCACTTTGTTCCATAGCTCCCGGCCTGTCTTTATGTACTTAGACAAACATAATGTATACCATTTATATGATAGATATTTGCTTTCATAAATCATCAGAACTGTGATTAGGCCTAGAGAAAAAAATGTGTGGTCTTTCACTGTATCCCTTTCATTAACCACTTAAAGACCATGGTGTTAAACCCCCTTCCTGTCCAGGCCATTTTTCAGTATTCAGGGCTGCAGTACTTTAACTAACGTTTATTCCGTCATGCAGCGCTGTACTGAAATTAATTTTATACCATTTTTTGGGGACAGATAGAGCTTTCTTTTGGTGGTATTTAATCACCACTGGGGGTTTTATTTTTTATTATATAAAGAAAAATTGTTGAAAAAAACCCTGTTTTCCCTACGTTATGTTATTAAACATTTATTCTTACCCAATTTTTTGGTAAAATATAAAAGTCGGGGTCACGTCAGGTAAATAGACACCAAACATGTCAAGCTTTAAAATTGGGCGCACCCGTTAAATCGTAAAAACTACCATACCCAAAATTACGCATTGGAGATGCTTTAAAAGCTTTTACCGCTCATCAATTTAGTGTTAATGGTGATTGATGGCCCTAAAATTATTGCTCTCACTCCGACGTTTGCGGCAATATGTAACGTGTTTGTTTAGCTATACCAGTGTCTACCAGCATTCCTTTCAGTATGTATTTCTATAAATTAAATTGGTGTAAATGGCAGCATATGACAGGGGTAGGCAACCTTGGCACTGCAGCTGTGGTAAAACTACAAATCCCATCATGCCTTTGCCTCTGGTAGTCATGATTGTGTCTGTCAGTCTTGCAATTCCTCATGGGACTTGTAGTTCCATCACAGCTGAGGTGCCAAGGTTGCCTACCCCTGGCATATTGTGTTCCGTGGCACACAACCTATTTACTTATGAATTAACCAGCAATTTAATTTTACAGAGTTTGGAGAACATTTGGAAAAGCATGGGGATGGTGTGAAAGATGTAGCATTTGAAGTTGTAGACTGTGACTTTTTGGTTCAGGTAACGATGATTTTTATTAGACTTTTTTTGTATTGCACAAAGCTACAAAATAATTATTTAGAAAAAAATCAACATACATACAGCAGAATGTGTAGTTACCACTCACATACCTCCCAACCATCCCTCATTTGAAGGGACTGTCCCACATTCCCAAATCCCTCTGTCCCTCTTTCCTGCTCAGTTATTCTAAGTGTTTAGTCTGATGTACAGATATCTATGAAAATGTACTATTTAACTACCAAAAGTGTTATACTGGCAATTTACGGTTTTATTATCTTTTTTTTTGATCAGCGTGCAGGCTAAATGAAAAAAATATAGCAAATTCCTCCATCTACGCTAGACAGTGTGGATGGACAAATCTCCAGCGGTGTATTCTGTATTCTGACAGCGGCGGATGTTCTGCCATTAAAATACTCAAACAGTGATGGTAGCTGATTGGCTGATGTCACTGTTCACCCAAAAGATTTTCCATCCTACATCGATTTTCTGATTGAAGGATGCTGATGGAAGGGTGCCGACAGGGTCCCCCACTGTGTGAATTTTGGACGGTTCATCAAGAACCAGCTGAAATGCGCACCGTGTATGGCCAATTTTACTCTGCACTAAATCCTTTATCTTATCACCTCATTATCTTGTTTCTTAAGCTAGTATAAATTAAAAAGTAATGGTGATAAAAAACTATTCTGGGTTTAACCAATCATTTTTGGCACATAAATTCTTTATCGTCTGCATGACTGGGGGCATGGCAGGGGTTTTGTACAATACCTAAATACATTGGGGGGGAATTTATTAAAACGGAAGCCCACCGAATCTGAAGCAGCTGGATGTAGTAACCAATGGTATTTGTGGTCAGGTCTTGCTAGGGCCCTGCATGGTGGCACTGACCTGTGCAGCATGAGATACTGTGGATTGTAAAATGTTTGTGCCTGTGGCTTTCACTGATGTGCCCCTGCTGCCAAACTGTATCAATATATGTAAGTTAAGAACTCCATCAAGATACTTATTTTTTATTCCTAAGGTAGAGCAGCTTGGCTGAGAAACATCTGTGTAGCCCCTGTACATATTCCGCTTCTTTGCCTGCTTGACTATAAACTCAAATATACCATTCTCCACACATTCCCTTTCTATTGGCCCCCTATTAACTAATGCACTGGGATGCAAGTGGTGCAAGGTCACATGCCCCGTTCTGCAATTCATTCTAGAAATGAGATAACAAGGACAATCTCAGATTATTACTTTGTATTTATTGTCATATGTTGTTGTTGTACATAATGAGACATATTCAACCTTATACTTTTCTATGGGCCCTACATTCTGTAGACTGAGTGCAATGTCTCCAGTTATGTGCTCTCCTGATGGGGTTAACAGGACCATCTTCTTTTTTAACAGAAAGCCAGAGAAAGAGGAGCGGTGATAGCAAAGGAGCCGTGGATTGAGGAAGACAAGTGTGGAAGAGTGAAATTTGCTATCATTCAAACGGTATTAAACTTATTTTTCTGTTACTGATTTTTAGAAGTAAGCAGTATACTGATAGATATCTGTCACAGAGAACCTAAGTGATCAGAACATCTGTTTACTTCATATTACAGGTTTTACCAATAATTACTGATCATATCAGTGCACATAGATAATTCATAGGCATAGGGAAGGGGATCTTGTACTAAATCCTATGCTGTGTATTGACTGCTGCCAAATACTGCACTGTTACCAGTATTGATAGATAAGGATAGTAATGATCCCTTTATGACCTTAGAACAACCTCCCTAATTTCTTGGCTTGCAAAAATGTGTGCATTTCAAAAGAGCCATTTACCTTTCTTGCAGTGTTTAGGTATATCTCAGTCCCAAATTACAAGGGTTAAAGTCAAGATAAATACAGTCCTTCTATTCTATTTAGAGTGTTCTGGTTTAGTGTGAACCCAATGGATGCTTACTACTGATAAAGGGAGTTCCATTGAGACCATATCATACAAGTAGGGATGTTCAGATACCAGTGCAGATATTTGCCATTTTTACGAGAACTACCAGGGTTGCAGCAGTTGCAGCTGGGACCTGGCTCTGGTGCTCCACCACTGTCCTGAAATTATTAGTCTGTATTGTTTCAGAAAAACTGTCACATGACAGCAAACATAAATGTATCAGTACTTGTATCTGTGAGTACTTGGACAAGTATCAGTACTTGGTCTAGAAAAAATGGTATCGGTGCATCCCTGATATATATTTATTTTTAAAAAATCATACATTAAAACAGGGATGCACAAATCCCAGGAGCTCCGTATGCTTCTTAAAAATGACAGCTGGAGCTGGAAAAAGTATCTGTGCATGTACTTGTACCGAGTACGGATCTTGGTATCTGAACATCCCTTGTTTAGACTGAAATATCTGCTGGCTTAGCCTGTGTAGCAGATCCCTGATGGCATCAAGACCAGTCAACCAAACATAAGTCTAACAACTTGTGAAGTTTACAACAATGGTCACACATTCAGCACCAGGCAGACCTGTTCCTGGAGTTGCTACCTACTGCCTCCTGTTCCATACAATCAGTGTAATGCGGAGCTAAGTTACGGTATCTTTCCAAGCATCTTGTTCCAACTGACTACAAATGCCTGATCCAGATACTCTATGAACTGTCAGGTGTAGATGAACCAGTGTGTAAAGTCTAGTCAGGGAGGCAAACTTTCTGAGACTTTTCAGGACATTTTCTGCTGAGATAAGTCATTTTTGTAGTGGCAGTGCTACATCAATTAAAGTGCATGTAATCCACAAACGTTACCTCTCTTATTTGCTCCTTTTGGTCTGTTAAATAAACAATTGAAAGTACTTTGTTATATCTGTTTATATGTGCAGAAAAAAACTAGTGATCCTGACAAAAATCTAGTAAACTGCTAACTTCCTATAGTTAGCTGACAATGCTGACTGAAATATTACACAATGTCATCCCTACCTGCAGGGGCGTAACTAGAAATCACAGGGCCACATAGCAACATTTTGTATGGGGCCCTGTGATTGCTAGTTATGCCACTTGCAGAGCCCACAAGGAGAGTGACCCTGCAGAGCCCACCATAGACTCTCTATAGTGGGCTCTGCAGTGTCTGAGATCTCTTACCTGTCAGCGATGTCTGCCTCTGTGGTCGCCGGGCCCCAACTCCTGTTCCGTCCCCGGGCCCCGCCTCCTCTATCGAAGGGCCCCGCCTCCTCTTACCAGTGGCGGAGCTAAGGAACAAAGGGCCCTGGTGCAAGATTTTTTTTTTGGGCACCCCCCCCCCCCCCCA